CAAAGATTTATTTATATTTATTTCTTTTTATGCAATAAATGAAATTCTTCATTTATAAGAATTTAAGATAATAACAAGAATTTGTAGAAGCAGGTGTACAAGTATTTTATACATAATTTTATTATGAATCCAAACTTCGACGAAGTACTAACAATCCCAGGTATTAACGTTACAAGTTAATTTAGCTATAACATCTGCTCACTCGATACGATTCTACGAATGTTGCTAACCCAAACTGCAGTGCGGTACGTAAACAGCGAACACGTATCTTGCACCTCCCACGCCAATCCACCGGCGGCTAATCGCATTCCTGGCATAGCAAATACAGGTTGTCGGCCCGCACGGCTGGTTTCAAACGGCTTGTGACGTAGCAACGCGTCGTAAACAGGGTTACCATGGTGTATAAGCCACTTCACTCCCATAAAGTGCTGGACAGTGGTATTATGCTATTCTCTGTGTTATAGAATTGTGTTATGAAAATTGCATAGGATCACTGATGCTCGTATACGTGGCATATATTTGACAATATACGGATCTTCGTGCACTGTTTGACGTTTATTTTTAATAAAATCCAAATAGACGGTTTCATTTTGTTTGTATTTATTTTTGTTACATGGTACGCAGTATCTTCATCAATTCTGAACACATTATTATTAGAGCGTACACTCACATTAGTCCTACAGTAATTTTGCATTCAATTCTCAAAAAGAAAAGGCAATCTCTTTTATGTTTCTTTTCTGTGGAAAATATTTCTTATCTCTGGATTAAGTGAATTAACACAATTGTTCAGTCGGTAAGAATGAATAACTTCTTTTCTGATATCATGGGAATCATTGTCTTTTGAGGTGTCCATGGTTCTGTTCATATACTTTTTTTTATACAACTTAGAATGGCAAACAAGCTGACGGCCCACCTAAAGGAAAGTGGTAACCGTCGCCTATAGACATGAGCAGTACCATGAACATAACAGAGTATACTGTTTCGCCCATGATACCCCTCATGCGTTGCCATTCCTATTTACTATTTGCTTTCCATCAGATGGACCTTGTTTGTTATTCTAAGTTATATTATTTTATAAGATTTATAAATACTAACTATTGATCTTAAAACATCCCAATTCTCAATTGTATTAAGACGATGATAGAGACCAAGGAGACCGATGCAATAGTCAGACAGCGGTTAACCCGTATCCGTTGTAACATTTCTGTACGGAACTCGTAAGACGCTTATAATGCTAATAGGCGGATGCGGCCTGATTTTCAATCGGCGTTCAAGTACGTACGCACACAGCAATACTGGGTGGTCATTCCATACGTTCTTATTTGTATTACGATATAGAGGTCAAAATTGAATAAAAATGTAAACGAAGTGATTGTGCACCCATTGATGTCGGCACGCTGGTGTCCGGTTCTACGTAATTTCATGTTTATGTTCGAAATATTACTTTTTTCAGGCTTGTATTTTGTCATTACCCTTTTGTGGAGTAATTTCCAAAAGGAGGGGAATCTCAATTCGTATTTTTTGTGGTCTTTTCACGCGATTACGTTGCCAACGAAAGAAGATCACTGTTTTATAATCGATTATGTTTATTCTCGATTCGGTCCCATATTATTTTTGTTGTCTTTGATGCTTCTTTTTTTATTACATATTGCAAAGCGTAATTTTGTGGTAGGTATATCTGTCTGTGTATGTTTAATTCTGACCATATTCTATACAGAGTTAGAAACTAATTTTGAAACTAGCATTAGTCAGCATTACCCCATTAATAAAAAAAGTATAAAGAGTCATATATTGAGATATATTTAACTGAATAAAGCCCCAAAGACAAACATTCAAACACAATTTAACAAATTTACACTTTTGTCATATTACAAAGATATTGTTGGTCTCGAGAAGTTATATTTAGAGGTGTGAGTAAATTATGTTTTTTGTACAGTATTGCGCTTCAGTTTCAGAACAAACTACGCAGTTGCATATGATATACCTTGTGACGCTAACGGAGATGCGGAGATCATTGCAGTGCGCATGTGCGGTTAATAGTAAAGACCTTCGGTGCATACTCGCATTAGTTTCGATTTTTAACCGACTTCAACGAAGGAGGATATTACGTTATTGCGATATCTTCATCAATCGTGAACAGGTTTCAATGTTAATTTTTAATCGAAATTCTTTGAAAATCTTTAAGAATTCATTTAAAAATAATAACAATGGTTTCCAAGGAACACCATATGAAAGTCAATCTTATCCGATATATCCTAAATTAATAGCAATGGGACAACTGATCCCCATTATTTTGAATACTTAACACACCTAGACTTACATATTTGCAGTTTTAATGCACTGATACATCAACCATTACCGTCTCATGCTAAGCTCGAGTCTCTCCCTGTAATAGGAGTAATTAGCTCATCATTATCTCGGACACTTCATCAAATAAATGCATGATTTATGGTCTGTCACTGTTTATTACCTATGTAAAAAGAAGACTTTCTTTACACTCAAATCTGTGTGTGTGCTTAGCGCGGTATATTCCATTTGCGAATGGTCATATTGGAATAATGTAGAGAGGGCGAGGTCAACTCGAGGGACAGGCAGGGAATGACCATACTGCATCTATACTGTAATACTAGCATTATTTAGAGCTTCAATTTTTTTACTGCCTTAATGTATTCCATTCCTCTAGTCGAGTTTTACGACATCTTAGACATGGCGTTATAAAAGGCATGATGACACATACTTACTCCTTCACTATACAGACATTAATATTTATATCGAACGTTTATTAGCTACACAAATATACCCGAAATTAGTAGCAATTAAAGTAGTTGACGTAAAGGAGTTGTAAGACGTTCAACCAACTCGACTCCGCAGGTCCCCGCGACACAAGTGAGTCGTGAACGTCGGTGTTTTATTATGAAATGTCACGTCGTGCCAGACGGCACATAAATAAGACTGAATTAACTTGTCTGCGACCTCTGGATTAAACACGGCAAAGTTCACATTCACACACCTTAGATTACAAGTGAAATGCTTTTACTCGTCTATTCGCTTTTTTTAATAACAATTTATAGTTTTAAGTTTTTGGATAGCTGCGAATGTGCTCTTATTTGTCAGCAATAGGGTTCAGCAAATTTTTACTTTTATATATTATTTATTTTGATCACTCTGAATAGTGTAATATATAATATAAGTAAAAGTATAGTAAAATAAACAAAGTTCTTCCCAGAACATGTTCATTTTTAAAAGGCAGGAAGCACACCTGCAATTCCTCCTGTGTTGCGGGTGCATATGGATGGCAGTAGTAACTTACCATGCTCATTTACCCTTGTGTTATAAGAAATATCATAAGTTAGGTAGTATATTTAGTTTTGTGATAGATAATCTCAACCTCACTATATGGTTTAGGTATGTATGTAGTCTCAGATAGGTGTGTATACCATATGTAGGTCTTATCTCAATAACATAACTCTAGCTGCACTAATTTAAAAGTATTGTGATGCATAGACTATCTCACTACTTTGTATACAAGAATCAGATACCTAACTTGTATAAGGTGAGAAGCCAGAAAACACCCTCAAGCTTCAGACATGTCGAACAACCTGCAGAGTACGTTACTATGCGAAAACTTACCACCGTGTCGATACTTAGTGAGTCGCTCTATGTTGCTTGCGGTACAAACTGGGATTCTTAGCGAGAACTTGTAGCACAAGTTTATTTTAAAGTCTTTAGTACAGAATTAACAGGGGATAGCACTTTTAATGGAGTTGATATGATTTCCCAAACGAGTTGATTAGTAATTGGAAAATACATAAAAGGCACAATAAAGGCGCCGATGACACAGCCCCAAGACATTTGTCATTTGCTCGATGATTCATTCATCTAATATACGGTGTCTACCTAAGGTATTATAGTACGAGAACGTGTAGGCGGAGCGCAGGTGAAAAACGCTTGTTCCCATGGCACTTTGGACTATTATGAATGACATCACCTCGATTGATGTATGTATATGACGCTCTCGTCTCATCCATCTACATCTAACCATTTGTGTAATTATAAGTTTCCAACAAGTTGTCAATTGACTTTGACTTGTTGAACTTTGTATAGACAATTTTAGATAAAAATGTTAATTGCGTATAAATTGTTTGTTCTGAAATTAGAATCTCTTAGAGTCGTCTGCGCAAACTCTTTGTTTTGCGTTCCCGTGGGAATATTTTATAATCCCTTTCGTAATCACCTGTAGTCGATTGCTGAAAAGGGGTGATTTTATCACCTAATGAACACTTGCGGAATATATTACTTCGGACTCCAGCAGTTTTTAAAGTACGTCAATACAAAATATAGTCGTTAAATAGTCTAATACATTATTATAAGCATTGATTTAACAGCACAAACAATTCTAACGAAATTCGATAGTGACAAATTATAAGTTAGAAGGCAATCAATTATTTCCCCCGCCTCGCTTTATTAAAAGCATTAGCTAACTGATTATACATACAGTCTACTTAAGTGATTTAAACTAAACAGTATAATGTCTTATTGATCTGAATAAATTACCAGACTGTATATGGAATAAGAAAATTAATCTTATTTAAAAATAAAGAGCGACTTCTATTTCATACAAGAATCACCAAAAACAGATTGCCAAATTATTAAAACTTGTTTTCATGAAATCGGACAATGGGAGGTTTTATAATTTACCATGGCACGGCACGATATCGTAGGATTTTATTGTCACAATATGAACTGAAGTATAGATCCTTTTAGTTTTTCTGTTCCATCCGTCTTCATACAATTCCACATATTTTTTTTTTCTATTGTTTTTCTATTGTATCATTATGTATTAATAATAAAAGTGACGTAATTAAATATTTTTAGGAATACAATTCAGATCCAAGCCGAAATAATTGACTTCAGAATTCTGTACTACGCCGGTTGTTGTATATATCGTTGATATGTTGTGATGATTTCAGTTTTCTTACCGTTTAATTTTTTTGTTGCAGTGAGTGTTGTCGGTGGTGGTATGCCGGAAGCCGCCGGTGGCGAGCGGCGCCACGGGCCGCTCTATGGCAGGCTGGTGGCCGAAGACCAGCTCGCTTCGATGAGCGCACCCTCCGACATTCAGGTGAGCGCCACCGCGCGCAACCAACGAGCTTTCTGCCGCTACCGTACCCCTGTTCAGGTAAATGATGCACGAGGCAGTTTGTCCGGCTAACCTCCGTCAAAGTTTACGACTGTTACAATATACATTCGCTAGTGACGTTCCCGAGATACCTGAAATATAACAACAATGTTGCAACGCGCGGGAGTTTATTGCGATTGCAGCAGTTTATGTAGTTCTTGTTTCTTTCACATTGCTAACACGATTACAACGAAGACTCGTTTGCCTCTTGCTAAATATTTACGAAAGATAAACTATAAGACAAATAGATGTAATATTAAAACTTGTCTTAACCTATGAACCCGAGCGCGCCACACCTATTGTTTTATTAAGAGCGCCATTAACAAGCGTGTCTAGACATTACGCGCGAGTAAATAAATTAGCTCGTAAAGTGCCTATAATTAAGTTCATTCTACAACTGAGCTCTCTTTTAGTGGAAAATGAGGTAGTGTTCTGTTTGGACCCCACGAAAATGAATGCGTAAAATCTGTCTAGAGGTAAAATTGATGTTTCAACATTTTTCTAAGGATTTGTTTTTGTACTATTTGAGTATTCTTAAATAAAAAAAAAAGAACTAGTTCCGGTTGACTTGACACCAATTAACAAAAGACTCTCAAAAATGGAGTTGCATCCATAAACAACGTAACAAACAATAGTATATAAAGCTTTTCAGTATTTAGAAAATTTTAAATGGACAAACATATAAAGTATGGTTCTTTTTTACCGGTTTCAGTTCCGAAGCGTGTTGTGAAGTCTCAGAAAAAAAATCACATCGGTTTATAACTGACGGAGTTATAAGGTGACAAACTTAAAAAAATACAATCGAACCGAAGCCGTTCTATTTTTATGAAGTCGGTTGAAAATAACTACAATATTAATGAAAAATTGTGTTGATATATTTATATATATATATATATATATATATATATATATATATATATATATATATATATATATATATATATATATATATATATATATATATATATATTATTTTTGGCATTGATAGTATTGATTTTTTTCTTTTGCGGAGCAAAATACTTGTTACGAAGCAAAATTTATTTGTAAACATAATTTCGCGTTCTAAATCCTAAATACTTTTTACTATTGAAATTGCTGTTTCTTTCAGAGCTAAATTTACTTGTTCCTAGTCCATTTTATGAATGACGTCCACAATGGGTCACGTCTAAATATATACAAAACATGTAAATAATTAATTTTAACGGCGCGCGCTGCCTTATTCTAATATACAGTACGTACGGGAACAGTTTACTTTCAGCTACAAGTAGCAACGCTGATGTACGATTATTACCGATGATCGTCCACAGGTGTTAAGCTATTGTTTCCTAGTGTTTATTGCTATAATACGTTAACACAAACAAACTGTCTCGTGTTAATTCTCGCACGCTTCCTTTTTATTGGCAACGTAGTTTGTTGTCGTGTTAATTGAGTTTATTAATGATTTCCTCAAATTTGTCAATTTACGAGTATATACCTACTAGCAACAGTGTCCTTTGTTTGCATGCATTTTTTGACACTGATATGACATTTCGCAAATGGTATATACAGAATTAGTCGTAATGGGTATGCCGCTTATAGTACTTATAATGAAACGTATAACTATAAAAATGTCGCATGAAACTTAGTCGGATTTTCAAAATAATCAAAAGCTTTATATAGAACTTTCAAAAACAATTTCGCATTTCTTGGTTGTTCAGTTTCATAAATACTATCATTGGATTCAGACTTAGTATAACCATTGCGACAAATCCTGCATGAATTATAGTAAAAACGTGCAAAAATATTTTATTTTTCTAGTTCATCCAAGTATCAGATAAACTGGCGATTTTTGTGTTTACCTTATTTTATATCTATATATGATTCTGTTATAAGCTAACTAAATGTAGATAGTTATTGGGTTTGTTTTTGATAGGTAATAAGTAGCGGGTTCCGTTTTTCTGATTACGAGTAATGTAGTGCGGGAAATTTCGATTTATTTTAGCACCTTACTTAAGAGATACGTCTTTATACTTGGAAGTTGAAATACTAAATAATACTGCTTCAACACTTCCCAGCTTTTTCCGCTTGTCACAATTTTGCTTATTCTAAATTATATATAAAGAAGGTTTATACCAAGCTTACCGACGTGTGCCAATGTCGAAACTATCTGTTAATTAAAAAAAATATATTTTTTAATATTTTCGATTGATTATATTTGTTTAAAAAGACCATTGGTAGCAAACTAAAATATTAAATACAGAAGTTGCAGTTACTTACTTTAAGTTTTCAGATTTTTGTTATCAAAATCCAAATTTACAAATACTGTGTAACAAGAATCTTATTTATATAATATTTTGTCCCTATAATAGTTTTTTAATAATCATATATATTGAAAATTATTCAGTTGTTGTTAAAAATTTACAGATAAGTAATTCCAGCTGTGCATTCCAACTTCGATAAGCTTCGGTATAAACGCTCTTAGGCATATTGTCTATCGTTTAACTCTTTTTCTCGCTTGTCCAGGCTATGCAAGCCCGAATACCACACCACTTTCGTGACCCTTCAACGGCGCCTCTTAGGAAACTCAGCGTAGATCTCATCAAAACCTACAAACATATAAATGAGGTAAGTGAATTCATTTCAGTTACGACATATACAGGTGAAATTGAAATCATAAATGAATGTTCCACCAGTAAAGCAGTAGAATACACCAGGACGTGTTGGCAGATTTAACACCAGTGTTAAATCTGCCAAATATACATAGAATTTTACTGTGCATCAAAGTTTAAGGAAATAAATAAAGCTTATTATTTTTACAAAGAAGTCATGAAATGACAAAAAATGAACACTCGTACTAACTCGTCCAGTAGTCAAGCTAGTTATGAGAAGCTCTAGATATTTTTACTATTTTATTTATGCATATCCTAACATAAGGAATGCTAATTGATAATAATGATTTCTATTTTAGCCTGTATATTCAATTTAAGATTTGTTAGATTAAGAGTTTTCTAACCAAAGTAATTAATGAGTCATTAATGTTAAAATACTATTATATGTTCTTAATCGCTAATCACAGGAAAATATAAGAGATAGTTTCAAAATACGTTATGTAATATATAGATATTTAAAGTACAATTATTAGTACAAAGGTTAGTTGGCCATAACCGGGCAGTTACGTTAAATCTGATTGATTAGAAATTGTCGGTATGATAACTGATTATCTGTTCTTATTAAATTGTACTAAACAGTACTCAGTGTCACTAAATAAATGTCAATCCTTATGCCCAACAAATGGCGGGTATTGAAGGCGAATCAATAACGTACCAAACGATTTCGATTTCGATGGATTTATTTATAATTAAGCACCATTCACACAACTTCGAGATCTTCGAATTTAGTACCTCATCTCGTATATCATCCTTTACCTATATTGAAGGGTTGCTAATTGTTTTTTTTTTTTTTTTTATTTTATCCAAATGTCAAATATTTTTTCTTCAAATCGATAGGATTTTTCTTAATTTTTACCCAAACACAAATTTGTGTTACGTAACCATAAAGCAAATAAGAAAAAAAAAATAGGTAGGATCTCTTACCTTTTGTTTTAGTACCTTCGTTGGTAATAAATCAAGGGGTATTTTATTGTATTTATATACCACAGTACGGTTTATAAATACTACAACTGTCAAAAATTTACTCACTTTTCTCCAAATATTTTTCCAAGAATTTTATTTCTCTAAAATTTCGTTAACAGATTTTTTTTATTGTTAAGTTTTGTAAATACACATTATGTTTTAATGTAAGAACAACAGGTTTAACGAAACTAGTCGAGCTTTCTCGACTAAAATACTACATTCGTCAAACTTGTCGTTCTTAAGAGTTAATACGATTTTTCTTACATTAAAAAAAATTGCCCCAAATTATGGAAAACGCCTAATCTGGTTGCGCTGCCGTATTCATATACTCGTATAGGTAAGTCAAACAAATTATACTACTCGATGTACTTAGGCATTTAAGTATACACATTAATTTGACCTTGTTTAATACGGAAGAATTGGCAAACATTGCAAATGTCAGTCTATCATAGATTATGTAGATACGATAAAATGTCGTCCCTGGGACATGCGAAATCTGATAACACTACTGGCACGTACATATTTCGGGGCATGCTCCGTTACATATAACACGAATGCATCTCACACGGGACTATATGGGAACAAATTCATATAAAATGTAAACTGAAATAAAACAAATCCATCATCCATTTTTTTCCATCAATTTTTTCCTCGTTCCTGATGAGCACTACTGTGTGTGAATGGCGCTTTAACCAATTTCATCTGCCGTTAATATTTTACATTATTTCATATTCGACCGCTATTGTTGATTCTTGTTCGAAACGATTAATCCGTTGGATTTTCATAATTATTGTTTACACGTCCCTCGCGGACATTACTCATGAACCGTCCATTTTTTCATTCATGGGTATATTTTAATGCACCATTTCTGACCATGTAGGCCACAGTACCATTTTGAATATAAGCTTTAAATTTAAATTTTTGTTTGTAGGACCAAATGTATGTAGTAAATAGTGCAGTATAGAAATGGCAGCGATTTGACTTCCTTATTCCATTAAACCATTAGAACAGGAATATGTTTCCTTTTGTACCAAAAAAAAAACATTATTGACATTGAACTGCATCACCATCTCGATAACTTGATAGAATTGTCCATGATCCTGTATATATATATATATATATATATATGTTAGTGTAATAACCACCTAATAACTTTACAATAAAGGCTCGAGGGCGGTACGTAGGTATAACGCTGTTTTGCCTGTTGCGACCTTTTCCGATAGACGTGGGCGAACTGTTGCTAGGAGGCGGATCGGCCGCGTGGGAGCGAATTTATTGCATCGTAAATAAAAAACTGTTCTATGAACGAATGTGTTACTCAATGGAACAGTGACCGTGTTAATTCTGCGCCCCCATATGATTTCTGTTGGTGTATTATTTATATACTATTAAATTTTATTACGTATACATATGCAAAAAACTTTTGCGTCGTTATTTTTAGAGTTCCGTAGCAGTTTGTCCAAAAACGCTTTCTCGTTCGCTTTGTATGTTACAGTGTCATGATACTGCATGAAACCTTTTAGAAAAAATGTATTATGGTCATATATAACGTATCAAATCATTAAAAAAAAAGTTTACAATATCATCGGAATCATATCAAAAGTCATCAAAGAAATCTTCTGAAAATGGGTATTTACTTATACGATTTCTAAACAAAGATGCAAATATAAAAACAAGACGCACATATACATGGATCTCGTTTTGATTTTTTTCTTTTCTTACGGTGGTATATTTACTTTAGTTGTGGATACGAGTATATGTCATCCTATAAATGAAATGGTTACACTGTTTACCTCAAAGCGCGTCGCAAAATAAATTTAAATATATGGATGATACATTGCATTCTTGCTTAGTCACCGTACAGACCATATCTGTGTGAAGACAGACAAAGGTATTTATTTTTAACACAAAAAAATAACAGTGTATCAAGCTGTTTAAAAATAAAATCTATGTCACAAAGGAACCGTAGCTCAAAGGAGTAGCCAAGATGACGTCTGTATTGTTTTTCAAACGACGCCATAATGTTTACTTTCCTAGGTTATCCCGACCTTTAAGTCACGTGCAAATGTTCTCTAGTGCGTTGCGATACTGCGTCACACTTTCATTACACGAGGCAAGTGCCGCCTGAAACACGCGGCGATAGCACAGCGTCTGGGGCATTTCCAATTTACCTAGATATTTGTGTAGGTGTTATAAACGGTGCTTTGAGTATGCAAGAGAGGAACATACTGAACCAATCCTAAATAATAGAAGGACGAGAATGTATGTATGACGAGGTCATGATAACTTTTGTAGTACTTGTGAAGACTGTAATTTTTACACAACTTCCTAAAAACGGAGTAATAATGTTTTTAGGCTTCCTATATATATGTGAATTTATTTATTCTACCATAACTTCTGAATGTTCGAACACATTTGCATGTATAGGATATCGTTACAATCCTTACATCATCCCAAATAAGACCATCGTGTTCTTTAATTTACCGAAAAAATGTACTTGTCACCATTTTAATTCGAACTGACGGTTTTCTGCCTGATATCAATTCTATGTACTTTGTAAGTTAAAAGATGGAACTATACATTCATGTATAAGTATACTTAAAATATATTTTTAAACAGCTGCCTTCAACAATAACATCTGCCCGTTGCAATATAACCAGATACAAGTGCATTAGCTGTACATAATTGGTCAGTTCCTGTTTTTAAATTTTCGTAGAATTCGAGTCATTGCACTGTGCTGTTTAAGCTTTATTTATATAGTAATCATCATCTTAGTCGATATTATATCAGCTGCTTTATATATGCCTTCCTCGATGCCTTCCACCATTCGTGATTGCGCGATCCTCTACTTTTCGCGTTAATTACCTATTGGCTTTCTTCTTAAATCGTCAGTTTAATAAGGTGTCTGATCCTCACGAATGTCCCACCAAAATAATATATTTTTATATTTAAACATTCCCCGCTCGTTCTAAAGCATGGCAATTAATCTCCGAGTGACACGTGGAGTCTCCCCTCGACCGGTTTATTTTTAAGTGCCATATTAATAGAATATTGTCTAATGTTCTATTTGTGTTCTGTCCGTGGTCGTTGCCCTATTTGGTGGTGTGTTTACATGGCGCCCTGCCAGGGATGCCACCATGCTAAGTGTGGGTGTCGATACGTGCACGAACAAAAAGCTTATGACTTGCAGATTTATAGGTACAACCCATTTAGATGAAACTTTGCGTAAGAAATCCGTTTCAAGATTTCGGTCCTTTTCTGGTAGGTACTACAAAACATGCTCGTTTGAGAAAAAGGTTTATTAATTTTTGTTAAAAAGTAGGATTATAATAACTTTTTAAATGCTAACACTATAAGTAATATTAGGATTTAGAAGTTTTTATAAGAACATTTCCGTGGGACAGTCATTACCAATTGTGAAATAGAAATACCTCTTGACGAATTTTTCATTTCATTTAATATTACAATGAAGTAATATTTTCCTTTTAAGAGCTGTAAATCCCGTTTATTTCATGTTTATGAGATCAGTAGTTTCAACGTGTCGACGGATAGAGTAGACCGACAGATGTTTCATATAAATTATAAAAAGGCACGCTTCCGCCCCAAACTTATTTATTGCTTTGTTCTTCTCTGAAGCATATTTTCATTCAATATCTGTTTATGTCCTCACTACTGGAGGATGTATCATTATATCATTATAAATGATGGTACGTTTTCAAAAGTTCTATTTAAGATCAGCAATGTCCAAAATCTAAACTATTTTCTATTAAAAAAAATTGTATTAATTTTTTTTTTACGTTTATAATTGGACGCAGCAATTAAACCGGAATTGTGATAGCTGTGCAACTTATGTCAATTTATGTGATGTTATCATAGGTTTGATCTGAATATGAAGGACCGAAGTTTCTTTGATGCCAGATCAATTCTAATTTGAAACCCCATCGAGGTCAGTCTCGTTATTAGCCGGTCTAAATCTTCGTTAAAAACTTGTATTTTTTTTAAGTGCTTTAAATGTAAATTATTGACGAATTGTCATACGATCAATGCTGATTCCCTTATGATAAGTTCCAGTCGCTATTTACTAAACCACAGTGCGGTTCCGGCCGGGCAAGTTATTGGTTTCAAATGACCCAATTGCAACATTCGACATTCCGCTGACGGACAATAGATTCGCAATAATGAAACGAGAATCGTTGACAAAAGTGAAAGTTTATAAATTCATAGATGTGTTATTGTCGATCATACCGTACTTGCATGAAATATAAATAGTTTATTAATCCAACATTTATATTTCATTACATTGATACAAATTTTGTAATTCAATACTTGTTGTTTTCTTTATGTTAGTAAAATTGCTGCTGCTGCACCTTCGATTACTTGTTCAAGAGTATTACACCTTGTAAACAAATTATCAAATTACGCTGAATAATGTTAACAATCTACTTCAAACACGGTAATTACAAATTCGCCGGTATGTTGTACTTTTGTTCAATATTTTATGTATTTATTATATTTCACAAAGTCCGCCCACCTTTGATCGTCCTTTATTTCTATGACCATTCTCATTTTTATTTAACACATTCTTTAAAACATGGCTTCCGGTCTTCTTTATTACATATCAAGATGATCGGTTACTTCCCAACTTTTATTACTGCATGACTTTCGGACTTCCTTGTGTATGTAGATTCGTTTTCTATCTATCATATTTATGATATATTGACATAATTAAATGCCGCAACTGCATGCACTTTGCGTGTCATTATTTGAAAAATTTATAGAATTGATAAAAAAATAGTACTATGGATGGTATATCCGAAAGGGTTTAACGCAAGAGTTCCTTTATTTACTTTTTTCAATAAATAATTGCGATATTTTTAGTTCCTTTATAAATTGAAGTTTTGACGCGTCGATCTCTGCCTGCTATTTTGTCATTCTTTGTTTCCACAAACCTCCATCCATCAACGTTCGCATTGCAACGCGTATTCTTGTCTGTCTACCTTGTAAATCTGATTAGATAAATCGCATATCAGTGATGATTAGTGGATTCGAAAGCAGACTGTTGTATAGTGCACTATGGAGCAACGTGCACTAGTTTAAACAGACGACGGTACAGTTAATTACCTAGTGTTAGTTATATTACGTAAGCATTACAAATATTAACATCATGCTAATACACTGCGAAGTTTTTCCAATATTTCATCATCTGTCTGCCCTTATTCTAATTATTTTGGGATCAGTGTAATATGATTTTATTCATACTTGTATTAAATAAGGATTTGACTTTAGGTTTTACGACCGACCGCCTGTTTAACGTGAACTATTCATCCTCACCTATCATTTCTCTCTATATCTCCAGTTTATACCGACAGCGCAAGTGGAGTTACCATTATATTTTCACTCTATTAAAGTCTGACGTCAACCCTCCTTGGGAATGCATTTGTTGGTGGTATCCATTGAAGTATTTATGAAATCAAATCGTTTTAATTTTACTTATGTTCTTTTTCAATTTAACTTTGGGTCTGATTGCAATATTTTGGATTACCTATTCTAGGTATTTTAATTTTTGATCAATTTTCAAAATATAGGATCTTAGTTAAACTGAACTTTTTTGTGACTATGTTACGCTGTTACGTCCGCAATCCTGGCTTCTTTATGTAATCAATATGGTTCACTCCCATGTTGCTTCCATGCGAGTATGCTAGTAGTTGCCACGCTTAGCAGGCATATTGGTAACTGCAGTTATTTGATGATGTTTTAAGAGGAATGCTACTGCCCAGCCCTCGACCGACAATCGTGACAGATATGTATGTATGTATTGTAATATAATGTTTGCATTATATTACAATATTGTGTCATAACCGAAATTTTCTTACAATAACATTAATCTTTAAATCACAATAAAATTAATAGTAATCACATGTTTTAATTATTATTTTGCAATAGCTCCTATTACAGATGGGCAAAGCACCGGGTTTAAACCCGGTGCTTTGGTAAAAACCCAATAAACACCCATAAACTCCCATAATCACCCAAAAAAATAGGTTTTTACGTATTTTTTTGAAAATATGTAAGTAATACCAATAAATTATTTTTATAAATTGTATTGATCAATTCTACAATATTAAATAAAACGTTAACTAATAATATTTCAGGAAATTTTAAAAATCTATATATAATAAAATGAAAGTAATTAATTTTCAGTGTTTTCATGTTGCAGTTGATCAACATGTTGGCCTTTTGCTTCCCGTAGATACTTTAAAATTTCTTCATAACACCTCGTTCGCACACATGGCCGTATATATTTAAATTCTTGAGCCACTAACAGTCCGAAATACTCATTTCTTTTATCCTCTTCTCCATAAATTAAGCATTTAGAACAGTTTGTTTCTTCTTTCAGTAAATTTTCTTTTACTTTATCCTCGTTTTTTTCTTTGTTGCGACGACGCTGGGTAAATCATCTGGACACTGGGTCTCACTATCGCCAAATATATTTGGAGATCGGCTTCGGCTACGGCTTGGCAGACATTTTTTTCTTTCTACAATTTTAAATTAAATTTATTAGAATAAATGCTTCGAACACACGCGATCTAAGTACCTTTTGTGTTTATTATACCTTACCTACCTAGGTATAAAAAGAGTACTTACGTAGATTTTCTTTTATTAACTGTTTTATACGAAGATCTTGATCTCTCAAATTAGCATCCATTTTACTTCCAGTGATTATCAACTAAATTAATAATCCACAAAGTATTAAATAACGTTTTTATGAAATATTTAGCACAAAAACAATACCCTTTAAATATCGATCGTCAGTAACTGTGGCTGACTTACCTATATTCTAGCAAGCAGGACTGCCAGATGTGAAGGGGAAATCCCCAATAAATTGTTGCATGTGACTGATGATGTGAGCATGTTCGTTTCATAATAAAAATGTTGCCAGGTAACCAAAAAGTCGTATGTTTTTGTGCGAATTACGATCATAATCTTTACGATCGTACATTAAAAAATAGACAAATAATAGTATGAGTACGATTTAAATCGTATATCTGTCAACCCTGCTAGCAAGACAGCGACAAAATCACGTTGCATAACAATGTAGCCCAAGCTTATATCTTATGAAATATACGGAAGAGATACGGACTTAGAAAAAACAGAAATGTTGTTCTTTGTGGAAGTCATTGATGAAATTCTATGTATTTTAGCCCGCAAACTTTCTTCAAACAAAAACAGCGCCATCTAGTATCGAGTTCTGTAATTATCTCTTTGTTTATGGATTTGAAGTAAGACCGCCACGCATGCAATACATTATGACTGGGGATTCCCCTATTCGTCGACGCTGAATATGAGGCGACGACAATCACTGTCAAACGTGTTCACTATTACTCTGACTCTGGTAACGTGACTTCCTGGTAACGTGTTAGGTAGGAAAAGCAGTAAAAAAGTGCATATTAAGGGAGCAGATTTGAAATAATATTTATACTTAACAAGAAATAATTAAAGGTAAGTGGATTTTTGAATGATACAATTATATCATGATCACTTAACAATTTTAACTTAAAATTAGATGTATTATTACAAGCTTTTATTTAGCTTGCGTTATGTAAATAAAAGTATGTAGGTATGTTCGTATGTTGATGCAATTATCCTCAATCCTCAACCGACTGGGATAAAATTTTCCATACACGTTTATTTTGGATGATAGTGCATAGTTAGCTGAGAGTCGTCATTGGATAATAATGGTGGATAGCCTAAGATGTGTACTAGATATTTATTTTTAACATAATATGCGTAAGTACCTAATCGAATTAAAGAAGTTGCTGAGAAAAATACAGAACAATACGATAATAAACTAGCGTCTGCGTTTAATCCTCCGAGGAGATGTAATTTTACAAAGGTTTTTTGTATTTATTTTATTATTTTTTTAATAAATTTATTGTAAATAACAAGAAATAATCATTGTAAAAAAATAGGCACTCTATTGTTGAATTTTCGTCAGACCAACTAATCATCGTTCATTTTTTTAGGTTCAATGGGGAGACCTAAAGATTTACGCATATGGGAGCACTACCGTACTTTACCAAACAAGTCTGTTTCTTGCAAGCTTTGTAATAAGGTCTACAAATTCAGTAATGCTGCCAAAATGCTTCAACATCTTATCACTTGTCCAAAATCTCCAGAAACATTAAAAGACTCTATGAAACTTATAAAAGATAGCTCGTCCAAAACCAAAATGTCTGGACTGTCAGAGATAGAGACAAATGATTCTTTTATAAGCCCCTCGTCGTCTGCTAACACTACAATAAATGCTGAGTTTCAAGACACCGATGATCATATAAAAACAGAATTAGCGAGAGCTATATTTGTAACAGGGACGCCATTATCGATGGTGCAACATCCTTTATGGATACAATTTTTCGAAAAATTGCAACCAAAATTTAAAATACCTTCACGTAAAGCTTTAGCGACAAAATACTTAGATAAAATATATAGAGAAATGCGTTTTGAGTTAAATGAGGAACTAAATGCTTGTAGTTACTTACACCTTCAGTGCGATGGCTGGTCTAATTTAAGAAATGAAGGAATAATAAACTTTCTTATATCAAAACCTCAACCTGCATACGTTAAAAGTTTGAATACAGAAAGTAATCCTCACACTAGTGAATACCTTAGCCAAGAAGTTGAAAAAGTAATGAAAGTGTATGGAGCAAATAAGTTTCTTGTACTTATTATTCTGCATATCAATGATATGTTACAGATAAGTAATATTCATTGCTATGCAGACGACAGTACAGGAGATACATTATATACCGGTCATGCAAAGATCTCGCGGGCACATACCGATGAGTGCCGGAATAGACTTGTGTCTGAAATCGAAACTTCACTCCATCAAGTTTCGATCTGGGGTGAACAAAATCTTGTCCAATTTAACCCCAAAAAGACACAAGTCTGCGCGTTTACCGCAAAAAAGACGCCGTTTGTCGTATCTCCTCACTTTCAGGGCACTTCCCTTGATAAAGTCGAGTCTAGGAATTCTGGGCGTTGATATATCTTGCGACGTCCAGTTTTGCGGTCATCTGGAGGAGAAGGCTAAGATAGCTTCCAAAAAGTTAGGAGTACTCAATAGGGTGAGACGATATTTCATGCCAGAACACCGCCTGAAATTATATAAAGCCCAAGTCAGGCCGCATATGGAATACTGTTCTCACCTGTGGGCAGGAGCGCCACAGTACCAACTCCTTCCGTTAGACCGCATTCAAAGTCGGGCGGCTCGAATTATCGATAGTCAACGCCTTACTGTCCGACTCGACCCACTGAAACTGCGCAGAGATGTTGCATCTCTGTGCATCTTCTACCGAATTTATCATGGGGAGTGTTCTGAGGAATTGTTCGGATTGATACCTGCTGCTGATTTTCACCACCGTACAACCCGCCACAAACTAAAGTTTCATCCCAATCATCTGGACGAGTGGCGGTCTTCCACCGTGCGTTTTTCAAGGCACTTTCTTCCACGCACAACCATTCTTTGGAATCAACTTCCAGCAGCAGTATTTCCGAACCGATACGACAACATAACCTTCAAGAAAAGAGTATATTCCTTTTTAAAAGGCCGGCAGCACACCTGCAATGCCGCTGGTGTTGTGGGTGATCATGGGCGGCGGTAGTCACTTACCATCAGGTGAGCCGCATGCTCGTTTGCCCCGTGTTGTAAAAAAAAAAAAAAAAAAATTATTGGCGATAACGCTAGAAATATACAAAAGGCATTCGAATTAACAAAACTCAAATATCCACATGTTGTTCCTCTCGGTTGCTGTGCACATATCCTTAACTTGTTGTGCCAAGATATTGTAAAGATACAAGAAGTAACTGTGTTTATTATGCAAGCCATAAATATAATAAAAACTGTTAAAAGGAGTCAACGATTAAGTTCCTTGTTGATAAAATCAAGGCAGGGTGAAGATTCTACACAAACACTAAAATTGCTTTGTGCTACAAGATGGGGAAGTCATGTTACTTCGTTAAAAAGTTTGAAAGCAAATAAGATAGCTTTGCAAATATTAACAGTTAGAGAAGATGTGGTAATTTCAAGAGATATTAAAGATTTAATTCTAAGTGATGATTTCTGGACGAAGACAGGGGAATGTATAAGTATTTTGGAACCAGTCACTGAAAGCATATTTTACTTAGAGAGCGACCAGAATCGTTTGCATCGCACATACATTACATTTAGAGATGTACAAGCTAAGATACGTTTTACATTAAATGAGATTTCGACATTGAGCGAAGAAAGCAAACAGCAGATTCTAACATCAGTATCTTCAAGATGCAATATGGCAATGAGGCCAATACATTTTGCAGCATATATTCTAGACCCCAGGACTCTAGGAGTCGAACTTACTCAAGAGGAAGAACTTAAGGGTATGGAGTTTATCTACAATTTAAGCCAACACTTAAGTTTGTCAAATGTAATGGCAGATTTGGCGTGTTATAAAGCTAAAGAAAACTTTTGGGCCAGAGGATTTGTATGGAGCTCATTAGATAGCATTGAGCCCCTAATATGGTGGAAAGGTATTTGTGGTTCCACTGAGTTAAGCAAAGTAGCGATTCGTATTCTATCAGCTCCCTGTACTTCGGCAGCCACTGAGCGTTCCTTTAGTATCCAAGGCTACATACATAATAACAAAAGAAATCGACTTACAACTGAAAGAACTGAAAAAAATTTCATTCATTTGTTATAACTGGAATCTTAAACATAAAGCTGAATGCGAGGACATTCAGTTTAATGAAGAAAATACCTTAGAAGCTTTCATTGAGCAAGTAAATGAACATAACAGTTTAGACGAAATAGAGCCTATCGAACCTATACAATTCATCGCTTGTAATAACTCTGAATCTGACAGTGATTGACTGTAGTTTTACATTTTACTTTCATCTCTTTCTTAATAAACTCAAAATCAAATTAAAAGTTTTTTATTCTGTAGGCTGCATAATAATATTGTCTATGTCCAGTATAGTGGACGTCTTGCGGCTGAGATGACGATGATCAAGTACAAAATCATAAACACCCAAAAATTTGGGTGTTTATGGGGTTTAAACCCAATAAACCCAAAACACCCGGTTTTTACCCACCAGACTTTAAACCCACCCAGGTGGATTGCCCATCTCTAGCTCCTATACTTTATTAATTTAATTATTGGTTTCGTATAAAAAGATAACCTCTTTTCATACGATAATATGATTTCAATGTCATTGGATTTTTCTCATTTTAATAGGACGGTAATGAATTATTCTAATTGACAATTATTCAGACACGATGTTACATAATGTCATTGATTTGTATATCAAAATCACGTATCTAAAACAATAGTTACTCACTTGACATTGATAAACATAATTTCATCAGTCGTGAACTTCGTTTCTTTATTCCACTTATATCATGCCGCGGAATACTCTTCTGTTTCAGAGCAAAATTGATCCTACAAATCACACACACACGGTATCCCAGTATATTGGTGTTACACGAAAAAAGTACAGTCCTTATCTCTCCTCTTTGATGTCGGTTAAAATGAAAACAACGCAAAACACAAAGTATTCAGTCTGTTATCTCGCATCACGCTTTCACCCCATGAGTATCGTGTGGATACGACACGAATGGCGGAGCATCAGCTGTTCGAGTTATCTGCTTGCGATTAATTGCAATATCGCCTTTCAAAACGGTTGGTTTCTCATTTTTTTTTTTTCACTTCTACAATCGAATGCTTTAAATGTGTTCATTCAACCGTTTGGAACGTTAACAGGTGACATATATATCACAATCCGAATTTTGTATCGAACAAAAGTATTTCTGACTGTCAGATGCTATGTCACAGCTGCATGTAATTTTTGGTCCTAAATTAGACTCAATAGCGCCTAATTGATTTCGGCTAAACTTCAATTCGATGTTCTAACATAAAAGTTTCTTTAATGGACATGAAACGTTGGTATATATTCAGGTAATATATTGCTCCTAAAAAAAAAAAACTGCTTGTTCAATCATGACCAAATTAAAGTGAAACCAACACAGGAGTTCTTACTGATTGTAGTATGTATTAAATAGAATTAGAAAAGATACTGTGTATTGTGTATCATGCAAAAAAATCCAGCGAAATCAGAAATTACCATTTTAAATATATTTCCAAAACAGCATTACCGATGGTACTTTTTAAAAGGGTTTATTGCAACGATATTAAATAAAAATCTATTTTTTTTTAATTAAAGCAGTGTTATAATTGACACGCTTTAATTTCATATTAATTGCTGTCTATTTTCTATACTGCAGTCAAAAATATTTTTCAGCACTTAGGTTGTTTAACTGTCGTACATATTCGAGTACACCTTGAAAATATTATTGATAAAGAAGCCGGAATTTAAAATTATCAAAATGGAATAATTTGATTTAAACCTATTGACATTGTGGAAATCTTTGTGAAAGGCCTATGTTTATCAGTGGAACTTAAATTAAATTATTATTAATTTGTGAAGGTGATATTGAATCAGTGAGTGCTTATTTATTATACGAGTAATTATTGCAAATTAAGTTTTAAATTTTCTAAAAACTAATATATGCAATTCAACGTATCGTATTGTACAGTACTTTGTTATATATTTATAAATTATTGTTATATTGACAAAGATATATAGTTCATGCGCATGCACTATATTAATAACAACAACCATAAACATTGTTCGATTGTAGGCAATAAACTTGATACTTACGCGTGTGTCAGCAACGTCCCCGTTTGACGATGACGCTTTTATAGATCTTTGTACTGTTATGTAATGTAATGTAGTATTATTTATAAAACTATTTATAGTTTCATAAATAAGTTTTATTTCTAAAATATGCAGTTTTTCATTTCGACTTTATTTTAATTTTTTTTTTTTTTTTGCCATTTTTTGCATTCATTAGGTATTGATGAATTAGTTACACCGACAAGAGGAAATGATGAGGAGAAGAGGTATTGATGATGTATACCGTCTTTTTTTTAACAAAAATGTTTGGTTGCCCAGTTAACTTAGGTATTGTACACGATTCCGCGTTCTGAATTTAAATACTTTTAATACAATGTCTTTGAGAAACATACTGTTGCTTATTTAATTTATGTGTCTAAGTATACTTTATAGTCATCGCTTTATACAGAACAGAATGTACTATTGTTTACACAATTTTTCGTTGTTCATTGATGTTTTGTAGCGGCTGAAGACGCTGTTTTTTGCGGAGCACTATGTACTCCTTATATGCAAGATAGACTTTTCTCTAGACTAATCACAAGTACACGCCTGGCAAACAGTGTAATGCAAGCGGGCCAACGAAACTGAGTCAAGGTGAGTCGACGACGTCACATTGTTGCCAGTCGGATTAAAGTACGCGGCCGACAGGCGCCGGCCGGTCGGGGTGCGGTCTACACTTGGAAAGTCTACACCAGTACTGCTTAAGGGGCCGCTTCCCCTACGACTGACTGTGTGGGTAATAACAGTCTATTTTTTATTAGATTAAGGGTTTGCGCTTAGTATTATCTCACCTGATGGAAAATGACGGCGTGACTTTAGATGAAACCCGCTCACCCATAAGAAGATAACTATGAGTATATATTTTTTTACTTTACGCTGACGAAATACCAGATGCGGGAGGGGTAAAATTAAGTTAATATGACATCAACCTTATGTATGTCTCATCCAATTTAAGCGACTAAAAATAGGAAGTTCTCACTTCTATGGTATCGCCTTTTGTATGTCGCGTTATATTTTAGCCAATTCTGAAATCAATAGTTTGTCCCGTGTTTGTTACATTTTATCACGGTTAAAATCGCCTTTATATTTATTATGGAATTTTTAGGTTGCTTTTGACGAAGTTATCACATAATGATAAATAACCCTAATTGAGAATCTCTTTGATTTCACGAATTCGTCTTATAAAGACGTATTTTAATGAAATAATTTAATATTATTATTTAGGTTATAACAATTCTGTGATACCTTGTTTTTTTTTTCTCTGTTCTCTGCTAACACAATGCATTCAAAATTTTTATCTTAAGGAAATTTAAGCGGAATATTTTATAGTGTAAAAAATGAAGAATCTTTATTTAATCCATAACAAAGTTTTTGTTTATCATAAACTTTATTTTTAATTACTCGTAAATAATAACATTTTAAATCGATTGATAATAAGAATGTATCGTTGAAATAAGAATTTGTTATGTAATGTTAACGTATACTTTAGTAAAGTCAATATAAATACCTTACCTGTTGTACATCTTTATTTAATAAATAAAGTGTAAATAAATAAATTACAATAACATTGGCATTTTTTGGGGAATAACCTTCAATAGTGGGAGTGGTTTAGATTATTTTTAATTGCAGACAATGGCTTAACTTACATCGTATTCCTTATTAATATTATAAAGGCGGAAGTATGTAAGAATGGACGGACACATGTTTATTGCTCTTTCACAAAAAACTACTAAATAGATTAAAATAAAATTTGATACTTGTGTAAATTATATCCTAACTTAGTACATAGGATAGTTTATGTACTCATTCACGTGGACGAAGCTGTAAGATATAGCTAGTAATTATTGAGCTATATATACAGAACTAGACAACGTCAGTACAGCGACAAACGTATCCTGTAAGGTAGGTCGTGACGCCTCCCTATTTCGACACACTGCGAAAATTACTGAAAGGCAGCCCGCCCTCGTTCACAAAATTAGTCTTCTAATGGCATATTCTAATGAGACGTTCTAATAGATTATTACAATGGTGTGTGACACAGATTTCTCTCTTTCTCAGTTAACACAATGCATTCATTAATTGTGGTGTAATTTGAAGCAGTAATCGGAACATTCTCCAGTGTAAAGAAAAGTAAAGTCTTTTATCATTTCACCAGAGGGAGACTTTGTACGAAAGTCGATTGCGTGGGTACCTCTGTCCCATTCGTATTTCAACCGTGAAGCAGTTGTGTTTGCATGGCTGTGTTTCGGTTTGAAGGGTGGGATATGGCGTGAATTTACTGGGTACAGAGGAATAACACCTGAGTCCTCAGGAATGGCATCGCATGGGGGGTATCATGGGCGCAACAGTATACTCTGTTATGTCCATGGTACTGCTCATGTCTTTAGGCGACGGTTACCACTTTCCATCAGGTGGGCCGTCAGCTTGTTTGCCATTCTAAGTTTTATAAAAAAAAAAAAAAAAAAAAATAATTCATTCTTTTCAATTCAAAAATAAAAATTATGTGATGAAGAAATTTTGATTGCTTTTTTCTTAATGTTTTAATACAATATTTAGAAATATATTTTTGAAAACTTTTAAAAATAAGTGCTATTATGTAAATAAAAAATATTGTTAATTTTAAATTTTTTTTTTTGTGAGAAAGTCCGAAGTGTTCAATACAATTATACTATATTAACGGAGCTTATGTCTCTTGTCATTAGTACTATTCTTTCAAAATGAAAAATAACGAAGAGCATAATTTAAAAGAACAATATGAGCCAAGCATGTAACGAAAACCTTGCCATGTGGTCCTGGCATAAAAATGGCCACCACCCTTCCATTTCTTCCATGGGTGTCGTAAGAAGCGACTAAGGGAACTTAATGGTCGAGAGATGGGCAGTAACGTCTACTGCGATTTTTTTTGAAGTGTGAAAATGGAATGGTAAACCCGTCTGCGCTAGCGGGATACGCTGGCGGGGCACCAGTGAAGGGTGATCGATTATAATGAAAACAGGCTAGTTAGCCCATCATGATGAATCCATCAGGAATTAACCGTGATAGTTTCCAGGGGGAACTGCGTGGAGGTCTACCTGGTTGGGTATATTGCTAGCAATGGGATTCTTAGTCTCCATTACTAACAATCCCTTTCCCCCCAAGTCAAACTGTGGTTGCCAACCTGCCAGTCAAGCGTGGTAACTATTGGTAATAACCCCAATAGAAGGAGGCCTATGTTTAGCAATACAATTAACGGCTAATATGGTGTGTAAGAAAAAATATTTTTTTCAGTTGCATACAAAAATTTGTATTACATCTCGTTACTTTTATTACGTTTTTGCAATTTATTCCTATTGAAATGTTTACTAGCACGCAATTTGTACACGCACTGTCATTGCAAATGTAAAATGTAAATGGTTGCGACAGTTTAAACAATTTTCTGATTGAAAAGAATTGAAGCAGCGACGAAAAAGTTTTGTTAAATCGCATACGGCTCGTAACCGGCAGATTGCGTGCTCAAAAACAATGATCGACGTTTGTTACCAAAACGCCTATTACCGAAAAAAAGCGCGTTAAGTACCCAACAATAAAACTATTCATGGCCTCCCTACAATGCCGTGTCCGAGCTCAACCCTGTGCTGCTATGCGGCCTGTAGTATGAATTTTTATTAAATTATATTTAAACTGAGTGTTGCCGGTGACATTACTCGTGAAAAAACTGTTTCTTTTGGTTCCCCGGAAAAGTCTGAAAAATACCTTGCTAAATGAACTCTGTAGTTCGTAGGCTCATTGGGAATTTTATCTACCTCATCGCAAACCTTAAACTTGGCCATCCAATTAAGAAAGACGTTAATTTAAGAAAGTTTATTTGGATTCAGACTTGCTGGTTAATCGATAAATTCGCGAAAAAATATTGTATTTATACTTTTCCGTCCCTTATGTTATTTGCGTTTGCTGTTAAGAGGGCACGCGTCCCTGAACGGTACAGGCGATTGGTGCCAAGGTGTCCGCGACGGGTACTAATTGCGTGTTAAAATTTACTTGACATAGCTCAACCTTCGTCATTGGCCGGCTTATTTAGAGCTCCTCCGACTCGAAACCGCAAAGTGCAGACAATAACCATTCAGAGCTCTCCATTCGCTGGTTGGCTGTCTCGATTTACTCGAAACGTTGACGATTACGTTGTTTCTCAGGTGGTCCTCTGCTTACAGCCTTGTCACAGTTAACCCCAATACCGCCGTAGTATCGAAACTTTCGCGGGAACGAGAACGCTGCTTGTCGCCACCCGCTCTCTTACTTTATGTAATTAATGAATCTGCCTGTCACTCTGTTCATCAAAGTTTTGGCAATAGGAACTCTTCCGAGTTTGATGCTCGACTCTCGCTCTCCCTATTTAAACTTTTCTAAATGCATGTACAATTTGTTGCTAAAATAATTAATTGGATATTTATTATAAGGTCTACAATCTCACCGAACCAGTTCGAATTGACCCAGTTTTACTTTGAAACTTTATACAAAAAATTAAAGTAGTATGTCATTCAACGATGTTTACACGAGAAATATGTCACGCCCATAACCATATGATAATAATGTGTTTCAAGGAGACGATTAAGTAATTTTATGACACAGTGCACTTGTGTTTGATGTGTGGTTTGAAATTGTTGTTTATAGTCAGCTTCGTAAGGCTCATCGTTGTGAGAGCTGAATATATTATTATAATGAAGCAGAGAATTGTTACAACATGCTTTCCATCTTCATCCATGGTAGAAAACGCACTAAAACGTGTTTAATTGTTTAAAAATAACAAATTATTATTTTTTAATTTAATTTAATAATAACAATATTTTTTTTTATTAAAATAATCTACAAAAATTATTGACCGTGATTGTATATATACATAATACACAATATAAACAAATCTAGACGCAAATAGAACTAGAAAAATCTTATCGTCGATTTTCTTAAATAATAACGTAGGTAAAGACTTTTTTTTTTATGTAAGAGTTCCCTCTTGTGCAACTAATTCACGCATTTTCTGCCAGCCATCTCTATTGCAGGCCCTATCTTTGACCTCTATATACGATATGACTCCTAGTGTTTCCTTTATCTGTCCAATGTAGTTATTTTTCAGTCTTCCACTTCCGAACAAAAACAAAGAAAGACTTTTGAGAAAGCAAAGACATATCTAGCAATGTGTAAGAATGCTAATAATGATGAGACGATAAAAGTTTGTATGAAAGTTGTCGATGATGGTTTTTTTTTTTATACCATTGCACAAGCTACTAAACAAGCATATTGCTTACTTGACAACAAGTGTTTACCGTAACCCTTGAACGCCTTCAACATTAAGGGCATTACGCGACAAATCGCATAACATGACTAGTATTTAAAAGATCACATTTCCAAGCAGTATTTGTTTTTTCTCTTTAGTTAAAGATAAGGCTCAAAACTATCATTAATATTAAAATTGTTGGCGTCTTCATCCCGAAGATGCAAAATCTCATTATGTTTAGACAAATATTTGGACTTATCCTTAAGTTTCAACGTCAATGTTGGAAAATATGAAATCTCGAAACATCTAAGATACTAAATGTTTGTTTCATAATATCAAAGCTAAA